TTCTTTTTACTTTTTTAAAATATATAAAATTAATTAGAGTATAATAGCTATAATTATAAAAGTTATAAATTCTTAAATCCTAGTTAGTAAATCTAAAACTAAATAAATAAAAACCGGATTTTTAAAAAGTTAGTATTTTAAGAGTATTAGTTATAACGTAATTAGAGTTATTTAAGTTAATATAAAGCTTATTCTTAAAGTCCTAATTATATATTATTTTTTTAAAAAACCTACTTAGGAAAGGTCTTATTATATTAAAAAGGTAATTATTATTATATTAAAACTCGTAATTAATTTATTAAATTTAAATTACGTAAAGCTTATTATTAAACGGTTTAAAATATTTATAAATTATTTAATACGGGTTATAAGTTAAGTTAAGCTAGTTATATTAGATTGCGTTACGAAACTACTTAAGTATGTATAGATTATATTTCTATTTACTTAGTTATTATATTATAAGGATTATATAAGTATTTATATTAATTAGTTATTAAATATAAAGAGGTATATTAATCTAATTATAAAAGGCTTTTAATACTTAAATATTATTAATAAATATCCTCTTTAAATATTTAAAAACCTATTTTAAATTGTATTAATAAATTATATTATTTTATTAGTTAATAATTATTTTTATAAAATAGCCCAGATCGTTAGTATAAAAAGAAACAATTATTATATATACTAAAGTCCTAACTTTTTATATAGTTTTTTAAGTTTAAGGGTTTAGGGTAGGGGTTTTATTTAGTTTAAAAATACTTTTTTATCCCTTTTTAATTATAATTATATTACGTATTAAAGCGAAGTCTTATATTATAACCTTTATTATAGATCTAATCTTGTATTTTTAAAATTAATTTTTATATAATAAGCGTTTTTAAAAATTATAATAATTAGTTAGGACCTTTATTATTTTATAATAGTTCTAATTTATTTAAGTTTTTTAGTTTTTTAAATTTTTAAAAACTTTAGAATACTAATTAAAAAAAGGAAGTGCGTTTTTTATACTAAGCTAATTAGAATAGTTAAATTTAAAAAGGGTTAGGATTATTTAAAAAAAGCTAGTTTATTTAGGTACTAAGCTTAGATAATAGTTAATATACGCTTTATATTAATAATTCGTATTAAAATTAATAAACTAAAAATTCTTAGTATTTATAATAGTTTTAAGGTTAGTTTTATTAAAAGTAATATATTTATTTAAATTTTATCTTTTTAATTAGTATTTAGTATCGTTTTTAAGGCCTTTTATTATAATCAAACCCTAAATTCGTATTATATTTTTTTTATTATTTAGCTTAAAAAGAGAGATAAAAAATAAGGAGGTTATTATAAATAGTTAGGTTAGTATTTATATAATAAATTAAGAAATAAAAATTAGGGAGAAGTTTAATTAGTAATAGTTATAAAAAAGTAGTATCTTAGGTTTAAAAATATAAGGGAAGGCTAAAAAATATTTAAGTTAAAAATAGTTATTTAATAATAATAATAATAGTTAAGGAGGGAAAAAAGAAAAGTTAAGTAGCTAAGTAAAAAGCTACCCTTTTATACTAATTATAAAGTAGCTTTTATTAATTAAAAAAAAAAGCGCTAAATTACGAATAATAAAAAGGCCCCGATTTATAATTTAGTTTTTTCTCTTTTTATATAATAGCTATAATTTAGCATTAATTAGTTAAGAGGCTTATAATACTTTCTTTTTTAATACTTTAAATTTAAGGGGGGGTATATAGAGGCCTTTTTTTAATCCCTCTATTTTTTTTATTTTTTTCTTTAAATAATAGCTTTTTAATTATAATTATTCCTTTTTACTTAGTCTTTTTGTTTTTAATAATATAATTTACTTACTTATTATATTTAATATTTCGGTTACTAATAATGCATATCGGATTATTAAAACTATTTATTATAATATCTAGCTTTAATAATATTCTTTTTTTATTTTTAAAAAAGCTTATTTTTAAAAAACTTAAGGCTATAAGTTTTAAGAAGTTAGTAAAAAGTAAATTATAATAAGTACTACTTTATTTAATCTTTTTAATCTTAATTTTAATTTAACGTTCTTTTTTTTTAAATCCTTAAAACTACTAGTTAATTAACTCTTCTTAAATTAGTTAAAAAGCTTTATACCGAATTTTATATTATAAATCCTTAGTTTAATAAATATATTAAAAAATAAATAGTTTAAAAATTTTAGTAGTTAATTATAAATTAGAACGTTATTAAAAAGTACGTTAATAAACTAGGTATTATAAGTAAATTATTTTTATAGAGCTATTAGGTTTTTATTAATTATAATTACGCTAGTTACTTCGGCCCTCTATCTTAGTAATTAAATAAACGAACCCCTATTATTAATTTTTTACTTATCTAAGCTTATAGCGTTTAGAATATTATATTTTATAATTATTACGCGCGGTTTTTTTAAAAATATATTAGTTCTAATATTAAAAAGCTAATTAAAAAAATAATCCCCTATTTTAAGTACGTTTCTTTATTAAATTACTTTAATAATTAATATAATAATTATATATATTTTAAAAATAAGAAATACTATTTTAAAAAGAGCTAGGGTTAGTAAAATATTAAAAAATCCGGGGCCGATCCTAAATAAAGTTATTATTATTATTATATAATAAATAGTAATAAAGTAGTATTTCTAATCCTAGTTAATATTAAAAAAGTTAAAACTTTAATTTATATAGTTTTTAATTAAATCGAAATTACTAAGGCTAAAGAAAATAAGTATAATTCTATTTTTAAAAACGCCTCTCTAACGTACTTTATTAAAAACTACGCATTCGTAATTTATAAAAGTTATTAATATTTAAAAATAAAATAAATAGAATAAGAAGTTATATAAACTAAGCTAAATTCTAAATAGGCTCGATTAAATAGGGAACTAAGTTTAGATATTTAAAAAAAGAAGTAGGGTTTTTTAATATAATTATATAGTTAGTAAATAGGGTCGTCGGGTTTTTAATTATAATAACTAAAAAATAATTTTTTTCCTCTTATTATCCCCTTATATTTTTATTTTAGATCTAAATAAAAAAATAATTAGAGAATTAATAAAATTTAATAATATCCTTATAAAATAAATATTTAATAAATAAAATTCGTAACTTATACTAAGGATTAGTAATAATAAGGGGTAATTTACCCCTCTTAAGAGGTTTTTATTTATAATTAAGTTTATTTAATAAGAGGTTAAGTATCCTTATCCCTAAAGTCTATTATATTATTATTATAGTTAAAAAGTAAGATTGCGGCGTTAATTATATTATTTTATAAAAATAAAAAGTTAGCTAAGTTAAAAATAAAGTTATTATAAAGATTAACCTCGTTAAGTAATAAGTAGAGGCTTTTTAAAAATTTTAAAAACTTTTTAAGTTAATTATTAATATAAGTAGCCCCTATAATTAAGTTATTAATAAGTATCTCTAGTTAATATAACGACTCGTTTAGAGTAGCTAAATAGATATAAAAAGGTTTTTATTAATAATAATCGAGTTTTTTAAAAATTAATATATTAATTTTCCGTTAAATATTAAAAATAAGAACTAGATTATTAAGTTATAACTTTATTAATTAAAGGGAGTATAAGAAATTAAATTAGTTATAGGTTTAAGCTTAGTATTAAGCGATTTTATTAGCTATAACTTCCTAGTTATTTATTAAAGAGGTAATAGAGAAGTCGCTGCTTTCCCCTCCGGGTTTGGCGGCACCCCCGTTCGGGTATAGCGTCCTCGCCGCTTTGCACCTCTACCCCTGTGAACGCCAACGAACTGCGCCCATAAATACGCAGACACGGGCGACTCGCAATGACAACTTTCCGTACACTCTACAACTTCTCTTATCAAACTCGCGACACCACCGCTTCTTGGTCACCCCCTTTTCCCTTCTACCTGGAACATGTTTGCGGGCGTCGCAAGCCGGCTGCTCCCATTCCATGCCCTCGATACGTCGCTCCTCATTACGTCTCCGCTATGCATATTTCCGGGCGCATAACCAAACTGGACACTCCCTCTTTGCCCCAATCCACTCATCTTCGCTGTATTCATCCAGATGCCGAAAGTATACTGAACGCAATACAGGCAAGGGAACAAGGCTTTCGGCATGCATCTGGCGAAGATGCCAATAACTCGACTTGCTGAGTGAAGCTAGCGACACCGGTATCACCCCGCTCACCTTTTGTTATGACGATGCAAACGAATGGTACGCCTCTCGATGCTTTTCGGGCAGCCTCGGTTGCTACCCCTATTCCACTGCCAGCATTCCCTGTTCGCTCTGCGTCGAACCCGTCAACTACGACTCCTGTTCGGTCCGATTTGCGAAACGCGCTTCTTGGGTTTGCCTTGGTCAACGGCTATTGTGCGCGTCTTCGACACCTTGAACTTTCTACGAGTATGCCTCATGCTATGCTTCGGGAACTATACCTATGAGGCATGCCACCTGAGCAGAGGGTGGCATGATCTGTCCGGAGATGCCTCCTTTTCGGGAGTTAACGACTGCCTCTGCCGCTGAGCTGGGGGCGTGGCACTGCGCCGCTAGTCGGCGACTCCGAATTTTGCGAGGGATCATACAGGCAAGCTTGAGCTTCGGGTCACACCTTCATCCTCCGTAATCTCATTGAGTGGGCTAGGAAATGATGAGCTGAAGTTTGAGAGGGGCTGAAGAAGCGGTGAGGACGATCTCTGGTGCCATCCACGGAAGCACACAAGACCGTTAGCACTCTGGCGGATACGCCGACTTTGGTCGGGCAGCGCAACTCTACCCATGGTTAGTGTATGTCTATATATTTCGAAGAGAAGACGCCTTCAACTTCTTCTTTGAGCACTGCTTCTGGTCCTCTATATCTCGCCTGCCCAATCCTCTCTCCAGCCATGTCCGTCAATTTGGACAATATCTGTTTCTATCAACCACCAAGACCGGTGGTCCGTCAACGAGCACCCAAGGGAAAAGAACAACAGAGCAGTAGCACATCCCCCTCTAGCATGGAGGAAATTGTCGTGCAATCTGCGACTGAATCCTACACGCACCATCGAGCTACAAGCTCTAACGCAAACCCTGCTGCTTTTACCTCTGAGGCCTATTTGGAAACAGTCGGTGACGTGCTTGCCCAGATGGACAGCACTTCTTGCTGTACCAGCAGCGATTTTGGACCGGAAACATCATCTTTTATACCGGTGAAAGAGTCCACAGCAGTAGAATTAGACACGACGATCAACATTGGGACAGCTGGGACATCAGCTACCCGGTCATTATTCGAAGCGCCAATTCCCGCAACTTTCCGACTCTCCATGCTCACCGAAGCTTCAGCCGACTCACCGCCAACGTCGTGCCATGAAGCTGGAAATGAAGCGGACACAGCCGCTCCCCAAGCAACTGGCAATTATGCCCACTTGACACCAGAGACAACCCTTGATACCCATAGCGGAGCCATCACCTCGCCTTCTGGGCGGGAGCAACAAAACATCCCGCCACGCGTTTCACTGAGAGGCAGTCTTCCAGCCTGGCTGGAATGTTGTCGATCGCGGTCAGCTAGCAACGGGAGAACCCAAGAGGGCTTCGATCCTGTCGTGATTGCGCCAGGGATCTCTGACTCCACGATGCAGTCGACTGGAGGTGATCCAACGTCTCCGGCATCAGCATCATCTGCAACAACACCATCACGAGAAAGCGGATACAGCGTTACACCTGGTATTGATCGACTCGTCCTTGGACCAACCATCCCCGGGAAAACAACAGTCCCTAGCGTCGAGGAACCTAAGATCAACTCAGGAGGCGAAGCTGAGCCTGAAGCCATTGCTGAACCCTCTTCGACCAGCTGCATGTCATCGCTGGCGCCTCAAAGTGTCGTAGGCTTTGATAACACAGCCCTTATCTCCCTGACGGCTCCTCCATCTCCAGCCCCTTCAACTCCAGTCCTCCGCCGGTCCCGCAGGGGCACGGCCCCTATTGGTGGCTATGCTGAGGTTGATTCTGATACCGAAAGCAATGCTAGTGGGAGTCCGACCGCGTCTTCAGGTGACGACAGACCGTTTGGCAGGAGGAGCAGTCCCCTTGGCTCTCTTGGCCAGCCCGGTAACAAACGACGTAGGGCGTGCTCTCATGAGGAATTCGCCAGCGGAATAAGAGCGTCCAAAAGAAGTCGCGGATCGCAGGAAACATCGACTCAAGCTCTAACAACGAGAAGGTCGCGGCGGGTAGCAGAGCCTATGAAGCAGACTGATGTAATCAATCTCACACAATCAGAAAGCGCATCGGGTGAGGGGCAAAACACGGATCACGTTCTCGCAACATTCGACGAGTTTCCCCTACATTTCGCTCCTCTGACGAACTTCGTCCTCAAGCGCACCGTCGTCGGTCATGTGACGACGTTCACGATTGAATGGCAACAGGTGAACCCCCCTCACTATCGATGCCAAGCCCCGCCGAAGGTGATTCAGTCCCCACCCAGTCCTTCGCTGTCTGGGTCAGACCTCGCACAATTCCCACGAGGACACAGGCGGGCCTTTTCAAAAGACGAGGATAGACTTCTGTGCAAGTTGAAGCGGGAGGGGAAGCTTCGTTGGAAAGAAATCCACCGTCAGTTCTCTAACAAATTTCCGGGACGAACTATTGGAACACTGCGAGTTCGTTACAGTACCAAATTGAAGCATTGAATCAGTTTTTAAATTAGACCATCTCTCTTGCAACCGTTGCTTCGGCTGCCATGAATCTCTGGTGAAATCAAACATATTGATACGTGAAACGTCATGGTGACTAGTAGAGGGCGTGCGCTGCACATGTATCAGTTCATGGTCTGAGCCGGACCTTTCGGAAAATGACAGCTGGTTCCCTAGTCAGTCCGTGGTATACAGTTGATCTTGAGAGACAAGACAAACGACCCTCGCGTGAGCGTCATCCACGAACGATGATCAAGTACAACTTGACAGTCATGTGTGACTTCCACGAGACTGTGCTTATAGCTGATTGTGATTGAAACATGGTGTTGCTGGAAAGGTAATAGTGGCCACTTGGCCACACCGCCTGTCAAAAAGGTTTAACCCCACTATGTCCTATACCGCCTTCCCAGGCTCTGCTTGTTTGATACACAACCTAGCAATACACCGCTTGCCCAAAAGGTTCAAATGTCAGCAGCAGCCCCCCTGTCTTTGTCACACCACCTTCCCTTGAAAGTTGAGGTCTAATCGTCACCTCTGACCACTTTCCGATTACAGGGACATATCGGCTCAGAGCCTTGACCGCCCTCAGACACCGCCTACGCAATACGACAAATCGTTTCCAAGTACTTACCGCTTTATTGACCGCTTGCTTGACAGAGTCCCTAATCGATCTCGCGGGCTTCACCGCCTGCCGATTTAGCTCAACGCTGTACAAGACATATCTACACCGCCTACTTGATTGCGTCGCGTCCCTCGATGCTTTGCTTTGACCACCAGCGGACCATAGTTCGGAGGCTTGACCGCCCAAGTATACCGCCTTCCAAATGCACATCGCTCCCGTTCAGGTATACAGGCCGGCCGACCGCCTGCCCGAAACAGAAGTCATCATTTGCCACGATTCGTAAGTTTGAACCCATCGCGAAGTGCAGAACATGAATTCATTATCTCAGCCGTTGCTCTATGGCATACCAGACCAGCGTTGACATGCTTGTGATCCTGGCATTCTTCATCACTGCAATTCTCTGTCTCTTCGCCACCGCCGTGACCCAGACAACTTCCCTTGAGCGCTGTACCCATGCAACCAATTGGATTGGTCCCCACGCAATGGTTCCCTGGGATTACCCCTCTCTAACAGGCCTTCAGAAGACGCCAAAATGAATGGTCGGCTAACGAGAAGGGAAGAAGAACAAATAGACCTCACCTTGCTGGTCCGATAACTTGATGGACGGTTCAACAGAATGCTCCCAGCTGTCCGAGCCGCGACACTGAGGGGGCGCCTACAGACCCTGTCTCAGTACACAGCCTACGCACACCGGTTGTCGAGAATGGAGCACTCACACCGTGACCGACACCAGCTGTATGTACACCGCCTTCCCTTCTTCTCAATGGAGTCGACAACACACCGCCTGCCCGAAAGCATTATGTATGCTGCCTTGGAGATTAGCGACACCGCTTTCCTTAATGATCGGACGAGACACCAGCGCCACCAATGACAACCTTGAGAAACAGTGGCTCTTGGCCAGCATTATACACCGCCTACTTGATTTGACAACCATCTTTTTCAAGCACCTTCACCACTTTCTTCACCGCTTGCTTTAAGAGTCACATAGTGGAGAAGTGATCTCCTCCATAACCGGGTTGAGTTCCACCGCTTACCATATCGGTGATCTGCCATCCAAGAAGCTTGACCGCCTACTAAGTAAGGAGACCGTCTTCCATTTCACGTCATAGCTTGTCTAGGCCTTTTCCTGTTGAGACAAACTAGCAGATTTACCGCTTGCTGGAAAACAGAGCACTCAATATCTACAAGCCTTATTCCCATAACTGCCTAGCGCAGTGTAGCATATGGGCTCATTATCTCAAGCCGCTCCCACATGGCACACGTGACTAGGGTTGGCTCTAATGTTCTCAACTTTCAGGATCGTAGAGGTATCAAACAAACATGGATGTCCCAAAGGATTATACCGAGATACCGGACGTAGCGCGAAGAGGAGGGTAGAGATCGCGTTCCGCGAGCGGCGTGATGCCGCAAACCAGAAGAGCTCATGGCGCGATGCCCTTTACACCACGCTCACGCGGTTCGGTAACGTCAACATTGCAATCGTCCATCTCTCACCCTTTACTGTACTGTATGTAAGCACACAATGTAACGTCGCACTATGTCACTGGACCAGGCACGGGACCTCGTGCCAGGGTGTGTTGAGGGTATCGCGAGTTATAGCAAGCCCCTTTTCTAGTCGCCCCCTTCCTCTCCTGTCCTTCGCGCTACGTCTTGTATCTGGACCTGATTCTACCAGCACTTGTTTACCTATTGAAGAGTCACGGGAGCTGGAAACCTCACAAACTCTGGGGAATGCCCCATGGGGTTGTTTTGAATTGCAGATGTAATTTATGCGCTTGCATCGCGTTCGTAAATTCTGTACATAAACACATTAGGTGCATTTGGCAGAGGAACGTTGACCCAGACCCGCTACATCTGTTCATGGGAGCTCGGAACGACTTGTTCCAGCGTTGGTCAGCAATGCAAGCGAAGGAAGGTTCAAATCACGAGCAGAATGCAGCATTAAGGACTACTGTATTCGAAGGTGAAAAGACACTTCTTCACTTGTCATCTTGCATCTGTTGAAGGCTTTTGGGACTTCGGATTCGGATGCGAGCTCGCCACTCAATGACGGCATTCAAAGCAGGTCCTGGATCCAATTGGCGCAAGAAGCGAGGCAGGCACCAACAGTATCGCGGATACCATGAGCTGCTTACTGCGTGTGTATGGAATTGCGGCCTAAGTGAAAGGATGTCTCCCAAACGCGGTGCTCAAGTTGGATGAAGCCGCTTGTAGCTAACGCTGTCGACTGTAAACGCACACAACCAGCTGCTTTTGGCTCGCGCCATGTTGGCTTTGTATTATGAAGGTCAGCTGTCAGCAATCTGCTCGATAAGCTAGTCTTGGCTCCCATGAACGGTTGTATCGTGGTCTCTGTTAAGGTCTCCCTGCTCCCTCTCATGTACCTAAGCCGTTCCAGGATCGGAAGGTACGTGCTCGACAGACAGAGAACACATGCCAAGCGGACCCCGGTTTTGCGCTCGATAGGCTACGTATGTACCTCAAGCTGTGATCGGAAGAATCATTCAACGTTGTTAGGTTGAGCGCTACTAAAAAGCTCCGAAACGCGCTACGTGGCACTAGCACGATCCACCGCATAGCAACTCTACGCACGTCCCAACGCTATAAATCTTAAGCCTAATTTAATGCCCGTTACTGTTACGAGGGAGGTAGTAATAGCAAGTAACGAGGACCTATATTTATAAAGGGTATAAAAACTATCCTTAAGAGCTTAACTAAACTAAACGTACTAAAAAATAACTAAAAATATAATTAAGTAAGCAACCGAGACTACTAGCAGTAGCTAGCTAGTAACTATACGCACTATAACCCTAAATAAGGAACGCGCAAAGCCTACTTAAAATAATAATAAAGCACTACTCCTAACAATAAGTAAGTAAGCTAAAGAGCTATACGTAGTAATAAAGATTATGCTTAATATATAAAAAAAGTTAGAAATATAAAATAAGAACGTTAAAATAGAACTTTACATAGTTATTTCGGAGCTATAAATAGTTAAGAGCGAGTTATAAGCTATTAAAAAAGAGCTAAAAATAATAAAAAAACGCGTAAAAAATAAAAGCGCTAAAATAAATAAAAGCTTTAAAATAATTATAATAATAACTATAACGCGGGATAGCCTAAGCGCATCTTATATAAACGTTATATAAAGCGGCTTAGGTAAGTAAGGTTACGACTTACAGGTAGCTATACTAAGTAATATAACTCTAACAAGCCGTAATAATACTTTATTTTATATAATTAATATATTAAGAATTAAAAAAAGTAGTAATAAGCTTAACGCGGGTCGGGTTTAGGCTATAGTAAAAAAGGAGATATATATAATAAATAAATAGGGTAACTAGCACTATCGGGCTATTATAATAAACTTAAGGAATGCGAATAGGATTCGGATTATTTATTATAATAATATTAAATATAGGCTTATTAAGTAAATTGCGGAAAAGAGCTTTAGTCCCGGTATACGAGTTTTATAGGACGAACTTTACTTTATAAAAATTAATAACGTAAAAAGAACCGAAATACTAAATAAGAAGGGTAATATTAGGGCTAAAGCGGTAGAAGTACTTAGCTAAGAAAACGAGACTACTATTACTAAGATATTTTAGCTTAATAAGAAAAATATGCCTAAGGCGTATAGGTCTATAGTCGTATTTATAACTAAGGTTAGTAATACGTATAAACTAATCTCCGAGGGCTTTTTCTATATTAGAAAAGAGTTCGGTACAACGATAGCGTTTAAGCAGCGGCTACGTCCCTAATAATACTATAATTACTAATAAATTACTAAGTATAAGGCATATTAGTACGCAAACCCCTAGGTATATAAACGCTATACTAAAATAGGCCACTACTATAATAAATACTATAAAATAATCGTAATATACGTACCTTATAGCGGACTATACGAGTCGTTTAATAAGAACTATTTAAAACTACATCCGCACTCTTATAAATAAAAAGGTCTAGATCCTTTAGCTTAATATAAAAAAATAGGCTAAGGTTTACGAGAGTTTAATAAATAACAAAGCGCTGCGCGACTTCATAACTATAGTAGTATAAGAGCTATAGGTATAGAGGATAGAAAATAAAACTATTATTATTTTAATAAAATATAGTAAATAAACGAGGATAGTACTAATAGAGTAAAAAGACGAAGGGAGATAGGGAATTAGGAGTTTACTATAAGTAAATAGAGAAATAAAAGTAGAATAAGTATTAATAGCGTCCTCGAATATTACTACGGCCATTATTTAGCTTCTAAATTAAAAGCTACTAGTAACGTCAGTATACGTACTAATATAAAAGCTAGAAATACTACAGTAAGTATATAACCTACTAAGATAAGCTATTATAAATATTTAAAAAGGAATAG